CCATGGACCAGCTATTTCATTACCTCTTCGAGGCGCATCAGGATCAACCATAAGCTAGATAATAGAAATATGATATGATGAAAAATAAGAAAAATAAAACAACTTACTAGTGTAAAAAATGGCATTTGTGGATCAGTTTTCAAATTGATTTGAACAGTGGGAGCTACTTGAGTATCAGCTTTTTTTAGCAAATCCCCATTGCGAGCCCGACTACCCTGATATTGAATAATAATTTTATTGGCTTTGTTTTTTCCAGCATTGTACTGTTTTCGTAGATATTTCACGTCCGAACTGATATCGGCCATTGCAATTGAAATGATGATAGTAAATAAAATTAATATAAATGCGCAAGTGTAAGAATTAGACGCCATACGGTTTTTTTGTCGAAGAAGAAAACACTGATTTTTGTGACAAAAAATAAGAGAAACGTCCCTGTTCCGGATCGTTCTAATTGAAGTACTTTTACAATTCGATCATACAACGAACGAATGAAAAGAGTCGAGAGAAAAAAGAACAATTGAGATGCTAGATGGGGCAGCACTATGACTTAACTCTGCTTCAGTAGATAACGGAATATGATCAAAATGCTTTGATGCTTTTTTTTAAATCTCATGTCACACTATCAATCTAGCATTGGGGCTTGATATTTAATAAACACATTAATATAGTTACAGGCACATTGGTGCGAACTATTCTAAAAGGTTATGAGTAACGCATAATGCGCTGTTTCTTAATAATTTGTCTTCGATTTTGTATCCTTATTATTATTTCGTGATAATGAATCAATAACTTGTCTCTAGCAATAGATAACATCAGATTTGCTGACAAGAGATCGTCTTCTCTTCTTATTTCCTACAATAATTCAACAATCAAGAACATTTTCTACTATTTAATAACTTCAATGATCCATTTAGCATGAATCTGATTGTGAAAATAACGAATAGTAAATGTGAAACAAATATTTTGGCATTAGAACAGTTTTCTTTATCGAGCTGCTCTTCATTTCAAAAAACATTAACCAATAATTAATTTTTATTTAATAACGTAAATGACTGTCTCAATTGACCAGAAAGTCTATGCAATGGAATGTTTTTACCTTAGAAGATGACTGTTTCGTCTGATTAGTCGCTGTTACCCAAAAAATACTATACTTACAGAATATACAACTATTTATGAATAAAATATGAACTCAAAAGAATATAATAGTCATAGTAATAATCCTGAGATGTTTTTGTCAAACAATCGAATTCTTTATCATTTCATATGAAAGTGGACAATTCTATCTGTTGAAACATATCTGCCAGAAAAGTAATATAATACCTACAGATTCACTGAAAAATGTTGTTTGATTCATGATGAAATTCGACTCCATTCTTTGATTGATGGCTGTGTAATATGATATTTGCTCAAGAACTATTTGTATAAATAGAGATGAGGTGTTGGTAACATATCTGATATCATATCTAATTGTCCAAGGTATGAAGTTAGTCTACTCCGAACTAAAATAATTAATATCGTTTCTGATGGCTTGTTTCAAAACTTTCAATAGACTTCATTTCGTTCATATTGGATGATTTCTGAGGGGAGATCATTGTCTTTCAATAGAAAAATCATTGTAAAACTGAATAATCAAACGATATCAGTAGAAAAGAGACTCAAATAATACTATACATTAAATGGCAATTTATTACATTCATATCTAGTGTGATGACTTAGAAAATACTTTTAAACATATGGTTCTCAATTCTTTAGAAGTGAAAACATAAACAAGAATATCCAATGCCGAATTCGCATAGCCTAACCATGTAAGTATGTTGAATAATAATTCATGATTTTGATCATCTTTCAAACGCAAACCAAAAACACCACTCAATGTGAGATAAACAAAGACTGGCAACCAACAACCAATAAATGCACTCATAACAATGCCGATAAATTTAGTTGCTTTTTGATCTTTCGAAATTCGTCTCCAGAAATTTCTTCGTCGTACATATTGTCTTGGAACTTTATGGAGAAATTTACTATCATGTTCGTGATTCTGATTAGTTGATTCTATAGTTGGATATTGATATGAGCCATAATGAATACGAAGTGTTAGTAATTCACGTGGCAGTCTACGATTCTGTAATAGCATGTCTGATTTTTCATGTACACTTTTATAAGAAATTTTCACTGGTTTTTTCATTCTTGGTCTTTTCTCAGTTAAAGTTTGTGTCAAATGAAATTTTGGAATCCATGATTTTGCAGATTGAATCAAGTACGGACGTATGTAACCTGAACGAATTGCTAAAGCTTGTCTTTTAGCTGCCAAATACACTTGAATATAAACATAAATCATAACGATTAATGGCAAATAAAATGATACCATAGTTGTGAATAATATATAATACGGATTGTTCGGAAATTCACATTCTTTTGATAGTAGAGAAGGTGTCGATATTGTTTGATTTGTCACAGTTGATCGTCCTAAATCAGATATGATAGTGAACAATGGTAATATACTCTCAATAAGAACCTATAGCACTAAATTGTTAATATATGTCTTGTAGAAATGACTGAAAAAAAATGATCCAACAGAATAAACGTTTTCGGTATCTAGATGCGTTCGTATGCGTCCATAATGAAACATTTGTCGGGTCCGAACGCGTTCCTGGACTATTTTTGAAGAATCTCACAACAGCACCACTTGAATCATGTGATGGTCAAACCTATTTAAAGGCTCATCTACATAAAAAGTGTACTGTGTAGTGATTGATACTTGAACAAAACAATATACAATCGCACGATGAGACACTTAAGTGTGAACTGAATCGACTCATGAAAGTGTCTTAGAGAAGAAAATATCTGGTTCTGTCTGGAATCACGAACTGAACTATTGGAGACCGCTGTTCGACGAATCCGGAGGAGTTTTTTGAATGGATATTATGGCTACTGTGTAGTTTTTTTTACAAATAAAAATGATTAGTTTTCGCATGACTATTTTATCAAATCGTGTCAGCAAGGTATGCATTCGAAAATGTATGAAATATTCTATCTTGGGGCCCAATGATAACAATTGGAATCGACCTGGAACGAATCACGACGGATTTTTGTGAGATTTTGCAATATTTTTCAATCTTATTTGCCTTAAATCGATCGATTTTGGAGTGCAGCACCAGAAATACATAGAGCCCGTCGAGATCTATTTGAAATCAGCTGTTGAATAAATTCATTCACGAAACACTCGAAGTCTGAGTTAAGATATCCAACGTCATACTTCTGTAAGTGTTCAGGACTATGATTTCTTAGGCAATTGTTCCACATTTAATTGTGAAAATGTACTCGATATAGCTTATTCTCATATATTTTATCTTAATGTTCATAACAATATTATCATTATTGTAGGACTAATAAGTTCTACAGTTTATTTTACACGGTTACATGTACGTATATTAACTTCACAATAAATTGAAACTGCTCTGACTAGCGTCTGTCGAATGTGACCATGAAAAGTTCAACACAAGTCTAAAATAGTTTATTCAAGATGCTCAGACTACTAAACGTTCGCTTCTCGTGCTGTTCACCATGAAGAAATGAGAGAATACATTTCTGAAGAGAGAACGAAAATCAGATCATTCTCCTCGAACTTCAAAAACGATATTAAGTTATATAGAACTTGTTTTATATCAGTAAATCGTGTTTCTATCATGTGATATTGCTTTGCTCGTGAATTCGTGCTCGGTGGCAAAACTTTATCTGAACTCATTGTAAACATTATGAACATTATTCGTGGGGAAATTGCTTCTACTTGTTTATCAGTTTAATATCAAAGACCAACTGTGGCTTGTTTTAAGTGACAACAAAAAAAATATCATGCTCTAATATCTTCTATAGAACTTTCGATAGGGACAATAGTAACATTTTGATCACCATCGAAACAACAATTGAGAAGATCATAAATGCATACGATGAGCGTCTAAAATGCTGCGGCTTTTCTCACGTATCTCATCTATGCGAGTCCTCAAGACCACTGTTATGTAGTCGAGACATTTTTTTCGTGAACAAATAACGAAATCAGAAATTAATTTTTAGTACAATGAAGAGGAAAATTGTTTTTTGAACAGAACATGAAATTTTCATTCAGAAATTTTCTCTTTTCAATAAAGTCTATTTGAAGGATCAATAATACTCTTTTACATATTTTCTACAATCATTTCTCGTTGCAATAATGATTAGATTGTATGATTTGATTTTAACTCTAGTATATTAACATTAACAAATGTATTTTATACATTTCAGTCATGTTATTCGATCGATTAGACAGTGGTCATATGAATAATGATGTGCCAAAGCTCTTTTTGATCAGTGAAATCACAAGTTAATGAAGAAAAGAAAAAGGGAAAAAGATCAAATTATTCAAAAGCACAACATTGATCACTAGACTAAAGGTTTTTTTTAATACACAAGAAGCATATCGATGAAGTGAATAACTCACTTTGAACTTTATGCATTTTAACAATGATAGCCAAATGAAAAGACAATTATAACTACCCTAACAAAAGATTTTCCATGAAAATTTGTTGACATATCAATATAATAAAAATACACCACTATTCAATGAGAACTTCAAAATATCTGTCAGAATTGCTACATACGAAGATATTTCTGACTCGAAGATTAGTGGGTTGAAAGCACATCAATCTTAATATTGAACAAAAAATGAATATTTTTTTTTGTACGTACGAGAAAGCAATCGTTCTGTTCCAAAATGAATTACTGCTGGAAATGATATTACTGCTGAAAATATCCATATGAATGATAACACATAATACCATCTCTTTGATATAAATGAATTTGGATATTTCATTGGCTTTGTAATAGCTACGTATCGATCTAATCCAATAGCGGACAGTCCATATATAGATGCTGTTGATGCAAATATATCTATCGAATGCCAAAACTCACATATAAATCTTAAATGTCGTGGAAACAACCAATATTCATCATCTGTCATTGTAAATATAAATGCAAAAGGCATCACTATTAATCCGACTAAGAGATCAGCAAATGCTAATGATGCAATATAATAATATTTCGATGTATGTAATGTAGATTCACGAATTACAAGATAGATTATTAAAAAATTTCCTATTATAGTGAATAAACATAGTAACACTAGAAAAAAGCCAATTGGATACGCATGCCATCGTAAGCCAGTTATTGTTGTATTGGTAGTTAATGAAAACAATTCCATAGTTGAATAAACTATTTCAAATATTAATATTAGATAATTACAAAAGTATTTCTGGCTATTCTCATAGTTTAATAGTCGCAAAATATCTAAATTATTCAAAAAAAAGTAGAAACACGATGAATTATGCATCTATCATTCAGATTAAACCTTTTAAGAAAATTGATCGAAAAGCTTTTGAACTTGACTTTTTCATGAGTTAATATTTTTCAAAGTTTTTTTTTTTTTTATTAATAGTCAAGTAGAATAACTAAACTTTGAAAATAATTTTTCTAGAAGATGAATATGAATTCATCTCCTCAAAGGTTTATTAACTTCAAGCGAATTATTAACGTTCAAATAATTATTTCATATTTTAAATCATTAATGGTTTTTTTAAAACTCATTACTTAAAGAAGTACTCTCTTCGATTTATGAGAAAACAGAAAGATATTTTGTGAAAAAAACCTTGCAAAGTATATATAGTTTCAAAAATGAATAATGAATATATTCCAAAAAACATCATATTATTAGAGAAACTAATTCCATATGTACATGCGCTATTTATATTGAGTTTAAATTTTTATGTAGATACGGTTTTATACCAGGAATGACTTTGTCAAATAGACTGAGTAGCTATTCTGATAAGAGATTTTATAGAGAATGAAAAGGAATCTTATTATACAAGAGAGATAGAGACAGAACATATCTGTATAGAATTGTCGAAGTTTACATAGTTGACAGACGAAGCGAGGAAAGAAAGTTGATAATTGCAGTTAAAGAGCAAATGATTTATATACAACATCACTGAATAGTCATCGAAAGTCTAAATGATGTTTCAAGAATGTTGTCAAAAATCCAGCTATGCATATATAATTATATGTATAGTTATGTACTTCACTGTGATATTTTTACTTACTTATGATGTTAGAATAGATTCAAAGCTCGTACAAATACTGGTGTATTCATAGTAGAGCAATATTCTTTTAACTGCACTTCTCAACTTCCTTCTGTTCCGTCAGAAAGAAAAGCTGCATAGTGTAAAAAAAAAAAAAAGATAATTATAATAAAAGAAGGACGGAAAGACAACACACTCGGAAACTAATTATCAACACAGTTCTCGTGATAACAAAACACTTGATGTAAGGAAGCCAAATAAAACAGCAACAACGCCAAGAGAGATAGAAAAGAAACTTTCTTGTGTTGATGTGTATGATGTAGAGCGTACAAATGTCAATATAAAATACGCATACGTTTGAGAATAAAGACAAGCGATGGCAAAGAATAGAATGAGTATGATTGTGCAGAATAGCTTCTGTCTATTTTTTGCCACGGGGTGTCGATCAGTCAACAATGAGTGAATGCAGCTAATGTCACAAATCATATTAGAAAATTGTATTATTTTCTCATTTAGGGTAGATGACCGAGAAGTATCAATCATGTTGTAGAAAAAGACCAGGATACCTATGAAATGCAGCGATACTATTAAGAATCGAATTGTCTTATGTAATCATAATATGTATTTTGTCAATTTTGTAGACACACACGTCTTTGAATCTAATAGCTATTTGAATATATCGAAATTCGGCCGCTAAGGTAAACAGACGTCACATTAAACATAATCACATATTCATGTTTTTTCTTTTTCTGTCACTTAGAACAGTCTCTAGATATCGATTGCCCAGCATAAAGGCAATATATCGACAGTAAAATGTTTCTATTTGTCGTTCTACTATCTGATTCTATTTGCTTGGTATTAGATAAATTGTAGAGTAGGAAAAAAGTTATTGTTTCTTTTAGTTATTTCTTGAAACTGATTCGATCGATTACATTTCTACGAATACTCGAGTAAATCTATCAATAATCTGATCACTTTTTCGGAGTTTTTTTTCTCAATCTCTTATCAGTTAGCTAAATGGGAACTAGTTAAAACAGGTTGTCAATCAGAAGGATTCTTTGTTTTTATTAAGAATTGATCAATATATGTATTTTTTGAAAACATACACCACTTTTCTATATTATGATACACCAAAGTAAAATATTTTTCGAATATGATGAAATAGTTGCGTGTTGTATTATCCTTAGATGTTCTTGTCAAACGATCGAATTCTCCACGATATTACATGAAAGTAAGCAATTCTATTTTATTTAAACCTCTTTCCTGGCCATTTTTCACCTGACTCACTGCAATAAATGCGAGAAAAACATTTATCAAAAAAGTAATATGATATCCACAGATTCACCTAAAAATGTTGCTTGATTCAGGATGTGGGTGTAAATATAAGTTTGAGTGCAGGTGACAATTAGTAGTAAATTACATCCACATTCGCCAATACAACCACCCACACTTCAACTGTGTATGTATCCATCAGTGCCTCTATGCACTAAATATGATTCTTCATTGCTGGTTTTAATGAAAACGACACATTAAAGAATCAACAGTTTTCCAAAGTAATATAGTCCATTTGAAAAGACAACATATAAAATCCTCACAGAACACATAGCTGAAGTACGTCTTAAATGTATTCACCACTCTCTCGAACACAATGACAGTTAACATCAAATAATACATTATTCAATCGTGTAATGTTGCCAGAAGAAATAAATACTCTGTTACTTTCTAATGCCATTATCTTTTCGATTAAATTTTTTTTTCTTTACAAATGACAAAATTTTTTCTATCATTATCTACTAAATGTAAAGAAAGAGTGACAATGATATTCAATAGTTTTATTAGCTTAATCATTAAAACGGTAGAAAAATTTTTTGAATTACTGTATGACAGAAATTCAGCTAATTAACATATTTTTTCGGTGTTCATCATAATAGAACTTATAATTAAACTAGAAAAATGAGCTCCCCTTTCCCATTCAGTTTACGAGTACATCCATATGTAGTGCTGAATCCATCGCGACGTCCTAAAATTATCATTATCAAGTCACTGTAAATAAATTGTTATCTTGTTTTATCATGATGATGGCGGCTGAATATTGTTATTGCTTGTTTTGTTTTCATAAAAAAAAGGAAGGAGAAAACAAAGAAAATATGATTATACATATATGAGTGTATAAATCAACTAAAATTTATATACCTATATTTTCTTCATATTAATACAAACACAATCACAATGTTTGTCTATTCTAGGATAGAATATTTCTGAATAAAATTGAATTATTTTGATGTTTTGTTTTTCATTGTAGATTTTTTTTTTTTTCAATCTTAATCTATTTACTCGAATTGATGTTTGTTGTAAATATAAACATTGGATCACCTGATAATTATTATTTTTCAATATCAAATTAATTTTCTTCATTCAATTATGACAATCAAAATTATTCCTAATCCGCACGTTGAAGATCTTTCTAAACACAAATAATGTTTCAATAAGAATATTTTGTATATCGTAAAAATTCTGACACTGAACTTATCTTACAATATTAACATATATGAACGTCACGTTTACTGATATAATAACAACAAACTAATTTTTCTCATACAAATCATATAGAATAATAACTAGAAAAATGAAACACTACGTTTTTTTTGAGAAGACGAAAACAACATAGAATTTTTTTATGCCAGAATCAGACGGTCATAATTTGCTCTATCTTCACTATAGATACGATTTCTTTCAATTGATTCTGAAATAGGATTATACTTCGATGAGAGATTATTTGGAAAGCCTCATACAGAATACCATAGTTCATGACTAAGATGTATTGCATAGATCTCAACATTGATAAGAGCAAACATCATTTTTTTTTCTTAGGTAGGTAGTGCTAAAAATTTGACCTAGACTAACTTCACAATAAAACATCTAATACTTGTTGGTCACACTTTATATGGAGTTAATATTTCCCGAAAATTCTTTTCTATTATACAGAAATTACGCCAACAAATTTTTGAGTTACCTATTACTTGGTAGCTGGCACCGTAGAGATAACTATTCTGCCTTACTTTTGTTCCACCAGAAGCGCTAGATTGTTGTATAAAGCTTATATTTTTGATCGATGCTTATTAATGATAAAAAAAATATATTGTTAGAAACTAGTGAATATTATTTTCATATTGTTGAAGGATTCGATTAAAATCTTCAATAGTGCACTATATATTATACCTGCTGAATATATAACTTCTATTTGGTTTATGTCATTAAAGTACGTTAAAATACTTTAACGTACTGTAAAGTATTTTTTGCATTATTTTAAAGTTGAATTATGAAGTATCATGTTTTTTCCTTCATATAATTTGTAAATTCAATAAACTACTATTTGTATGAAAGAACAAAAATGAATATAGTTCCAATAGTGCATCATCAACAATGTAAAATTACGCTGATTTATTTATCTAAATATTTACAGAATATCTTCTTCAATTTTCTATCACTTATTTTTGGATTTGCAGTGAAGAAATGTCAAACATCAAAGCTAACATATTACAGATTTGTAAATGTTTATGGGTCAATACTTGAATAGACTATGCAAATCATCTGATACTTTTTCATAGATGATATATAACTCATCATCTGAGCAAACAACCATATGTCAAACTTATTTTTCCGTTATAAATAATTAAAAAAATGCATGATATATTTCTTTAAGGTTCATATAGTGAATCTGCTCATTCTTAGACTGTTGTCATTAACAGTATTTATTTCTTCACTAGCACACTTTCATAAAATTGCGTCGTGAAAATTCTTCATTTATTAGAAAGATTTACTTTTTCTCTTTCATTTCTAGTGTTTCAAATTAACAAGCATAAAAAGAAATAATAATGGATGAAATTTTTTTTATAGTTATGACTATTTTTTTCGTTTTTTTCTATCTAATCACTATTGTATTTTCATTATTGACAGTTATAATCATTGTACGTTATTGTCATTCTCAATGTTGGTCTATTATTAATCTTTTAATATGTAATTCTTGTGTTAGTCTTCTTGTTTATGCTATTAGTTTTTGTATACAATTACCATCATTCATTCAAAATACTTCTCTTAATTTAGAGAACAAAAATACATTTCCTTG